GTAGAGATGGGGTCTTGTTCTTACTCAGGCTGGTCTCATACTCCTGAACTCAGGCAATCCACCTGCCTCAGGCTTCCAGAGTGCTAGGATTACAGATGTGAGCACCTCGTCTGGCCACCCAGGCTGGCCTTAAACTCCTGACCTCATGTGTTCTGCCCTGTCCTCCCAAAGTGCTGGATTGCAGGTGTGAGCCACTGTGCCCTGGTTGTTTTCTAGCCTGTCCACTCTTAGAGAAAAGCACCTGTAGAGGATGGCTGGTTATTGCAAAGTTGTGTGTATCTGCAGGACTGAAATAGGAGGAAGTATAGATGTTACTGAGTGCCAGCTGTGTGGCAATCGCCCTTCAGACACTTAAGCCTGCCAGTTAATCTCCACAGTGACCCTGCAAGTAGGTGTAGTTCCTTGCACAGATGACTTAAGCAGGATGAATAACTTGCCCCAACTCCCTAGGTAGGACCTAGGGCCAGGATGTGAATGTTTCTGACCATGGCCTGCTCCTTTTCTTCTTTATCAAGCTGCACTTCTCTGCTTCAGTTCAGGGGTTTTCTATTAGATTTGGGGAGGAGAGAGTTGTTGCCCATGTGTGGCTGGCTTGGTAACCACTTTCAGATTTCAGTCAAGGGGATTTCTGGATGCTTTGCTGCCCAGTGTCAGGCTCTGGCACACAGAGCAGGCATGTCTCTCAGGGGAGGCTGAGCAAGAAATCAGTGTTTATTGGGGCAGTTCGGTGTGTGGATCCAGTCCCATCATTTTCTCTCCCAAGTCCTACCCATCCTTAGAAGGCTCAAGTCATGTCATTGCAGTTGCAGTGGCTGGAGCCCAGTCAGGCAAGCAAGGGAAGATGGCCTGGCTGGTGCTGAAGTGAGTCTTCCCTGGGGACACTGGATATTGGAACTCAGTTACCTTTCCTCTGGCAAGAGGCAGTAGGATGGGCAGGGAGGAATAGCCGATGGCCAGGAGCAGGGAAAGGTGGGAACATCACAGCACTGGAAAAGATCTACTGAAAAAGTATAATCTGACCTGTGCAGTTTAACTTCATCCTTGAGCTTTGTAGGCTGTGTTTGAAACTAAGGTCCTTGTCTTTCCTGTCCAACTGGGACAGTTAGAGACAGGGATCATCTTTCCATACCTCCCCTGCAGGCCTCTTCTCTGGACATCGACCCTCCTAGTGACAGACCAGGGCTTCCTTTTCACATGAAACCCCCAGGTTAGGCCCAGTGGAGGAAGGGAACATAGAGTGGGGAGCCCCTAATTTGAGCGCTCACCATCTAGTGCTAGGGATGCCAGGAAACAGCCTGGTTTGTCTCCACTTGGCCAATCTTTGGGCCCACTCCATTCCAAAAGATCATGTCCTCAGGCCTTCAGTTCTATCCTTTATTTGGCACGAGAGGGACCTGACAGCAGTTTAGCCCTCGGAGGGCTCTGCCCATCTCCCTCCCACCCTCTTAGCCCCACACACAAAGATTTCATAGCCCTACATCCCACCTAAGCAGGTCACCTCACACACACCTTTCATTTTTTTCTTCTTAGGGTTCCCTAGATAAAGGTGCCTTCTTTAGGGAAAAAGGGTGACTCAAAGCCCAGCCTTGACCTCCAGCCCCCCAGCTCAGCCTCAACCAGAGGCAAGTGAGAAGTGTGAATGGGGCTCAGTGCCTGGGGCTCAAGTGGCTAAGGCACCAGCCACATACACCTAAGGTGGCAGGTTCGAATCCCCAGCCCGGACTCCCCAAACAACAGTGACGGCTGCAACCAAAAAACAGTCGGGCGTGTGGCAGGCGCCTGTGGTCCCAGCTACTTGGGAGGCTGAGGCAGGAGACTCACTTGAGCCCAGGAGTTGGAGGTTGCTGTGAGCTGTGATGCCACGGCACTCTACCCAGGGGGACAGCTTAAGGCTGTACCTTGAACAAAAAAAAAAAAGAAGTGTGAATGGGACAAGTGAAGTAGGGCTGCCCTCTGGAGCCAGTCAGAGCTGGGAGCAGGGCCAGAGGGGCCCCCAGCTCCCACCAGTGCTCCTGTTGGGTAGGTGGGCACGGCTAGGAGAAGCACAAAAGTTTGGGGAAATAAAGACATGAGGAGCTCAGCCCTCCTGCCTAGTGACTAGGTGGATGAGAAGGGCCACCAATGGCCCCATCCAATCTTGGACCCCACTGTCCCCTAACTGGCTTTGTAACTCCTTTTAAGGACGGTCTTTGGGGTTGAAGAAAATGGAACAGAAGTCTGTATTCTGGAAGACCAGAGATGTTTCCTCTGACTTTTTAGGCATCTGGACTCCTAGATGTCATCCCAGCAGAGGGTGACAGTCAGCAGGTCAGTCCCACTGCCATATCCCCCTAGCAGTGGGCCTTTGTGTCTGAGGCCAGGCCCAGGCTCCCTGCCCTTCAGAGTTCCTCATGGACCCGCTCCTGGTCTTCATCTGTCTTTAGCTTGAGTTCCTCCACTGTGATCTTGCCATCCTGGTTGCGGTCCTGGTTCTGGAACATGTCCCCTATGGTTTTCTCAGGCTCTTGCCCAGGCATAAGACGTCCTTTACCCTCATTCGCTTGAGCCTTGATGAAGGTGGAGAACTGGGGGAAGGAGAGCCAGGGAAGGGTGAGCAGTGAGAGTCATGGCTGAGCAGTTGCAGTGGCCTTGGGAAGGGGACCAGCTGTTATTTTTTTTTTTTATTCCAGGCTGCCCCCCACCCCAGCTCAGTAAGGACTGGGAGAGGAGAGGTGCTGATACTGGGGTCCTGAGTGGGGCCAGAGTGTAGGGCATGGCAGGGGATAGTCAGTTGCAGGTAGGGGAACAGGCTATCTGTGTGCCAAGGGAAGGGCTAAGCCAAAGGGCCTGAGGCACAAGACTCAGCACATGAGCAGGGTAGGCAGGCAGGATGGGAGACATGCATTGTTCTTAGTAGATGTGCCCTGTGAGCCGCCTTCCCTGTTAGGGTGAGAGTGTGGGCATGGGTCAAGGACTGAACCTTCACCCACCTCCTCCAGGGGGACCTCTCCATCCTTGTTGAGATCCATGTGTTCAAACAGGTTAGCAGGAGGGTCCTCATGCCACACAAACAGGTAGCCTATGGGCAGCCCGTCCTCCCGGGACACCAACTCCACCTCAAACAGCAGCACAGCACTACCAGGAACCCCCCGGGCTGGAGGGAGAGAAGAGTCCCAATCAAGCCCGGCCCCAACCCAGGCCCGGCTTCAGTGTGCTCCCTAGCTCACAGACCTCAGTTTCCCCTCTTGGGGCTGGAGAGTAGGGCATGGGATGTGTACAGAAACATCTGAAAGGTGCCCCTGACTCCCTCCACCAGCGATGAAGGCCCCTCACCTCCACTCTCCCCATGGGCCAGGTGCGGTGGCACGACCAACTGTCGCCTCTCTCCCACACACATGCCCTGCAGGCCTGTGTCCAGGCCTTCGATCACTTTGTTGGTCCCCAGAGTCGCCTCCTGAGGTGCCCCGTAGTCATGCCTAAGGGAGAACAGATTCCAGTTCGCAGCCTCTTCTCCTGGAGGTGGGACCAGGACAAGCCCACCGTTCCAGTGCCCTGGTGCACAGCCATGCAGCAGGCCCAACCCTGCAGCCATGTGCTTTTCTTTTCATCTTGGTGCTGCCCCTAACGAGCAGCCTTGCAGGCTCATCTCTCCCTGCTTCGGGGTCCCCTCCGTAAAATGGAAACAGCAGCTCTCCCTATTGCTAGCTTCACTCTCCATTCTCTAAAGAATCCATGACTCTAAGGCTCCCTGATGCTCTCAGATGGGGACTTAGTGGAGGAAGAGTGTGAGTGCCCCCCCCAGATGCTTTGGGATAGTGGGAGAGGAGCTAGAGTCTGGGGTACCCTTGGGAGAACTCCCATACCTTTGCCCACCCACCTGCCCAGCCCTGGCCCTGCCCTGGACCCACGAGGAGAAGAGCTGGGTGCCATCCAGCAGAGAGCAGTTGTAGTGGTATCGAATAAAGTCCCCAGGCTTCGTGGTGTCATTGCAAGTATCAGGGGGCCGGGACAGTATCTTGATTTCCACCGGATCTGCAGGGTTGTGGAAGTCGATGATGTGGACGTCGAAGATCAACACAGCAGAGCCAGGGATCTTGTCTCCTGAGGCCAGAATGGGGCAGTGGGGTCAGCTGGGAGCTCTAGGAGAGGCTGCTTGAAATCTTCATGGAGGCCCCTCAACCTGACACCCCTCCCTCCCCATGGGGATTCACACGGGATGAGATATTTGTCCACAGTGTCAATTCTTCTAACGTACTCTTGCTGTGATGAGGGGCAAGAAAGAGGGCTTTCCAGTTAGAAAGCCCTTTCCACACATCATCTTGTTCCCAGTAATTTACCCTACAGGTCAGCATGATTGGTCCCATTTTATAGGTGAGGCTACTGAGGCTACTAGCACAACTGGGTTCTAAGACTATGCTGGTCCTGTTCTTCCAACCACCCACCCTTCCCACACTTGGGAGTTGGCAGCCCTTCTCCACCGTGGAGGGGAAAGTAGGGCACTGCCCCGGAGAAAATGGATGGAGTGGGAATGAGTGGTAGGCAACAAGATGTAAATTGCATATATTTCTATAATGAGAGGGGCAGAGTGGTGGCTGGAATTCCATCATGGGGTGGGGGGCCCAACCACCACTGCCAGTTGGGAGGGAGCAGGGAGCAGCCCTACCAGTTCCGTTCTCCCCATAGGCCAGGTGGGGTGGGATGGTGATTCTCCGGTGCTCCCCTATGCAGGCACCCTGCAGCCCCTGGTCCATCCCAGGGATGATGTAACCCTGCCCGATATAGGTATTGTAGGTGTAGTTGCGGGAGTAGCTGTAATACAAGGTGGAAGGGCCAGGGAGGGAGTCAAAGGGGCCCCTCCCCATCCAGGCAGCTCAGAGTGACCCCCCAACTGCTGCCTGGGGTACCCCAGCACCCAGTCTTTTCCTTCCTGTCTTAGCTTTTACTGCCTTTTGCCCAGTCCCCAGCCCCCTCCTCAGGACCCTCCTGACCTGGAGTCAAAGAGGGTGCCATCCATCAGTGAGCCGTTATAGTGGTATCGCATGAAGTCCCCAGCCACAGCTCTTCGGACACAGCCTAGGGGGAGCTCCAGTGTCTCTATCTGGACAGTGTCCTTTGGGTTGTGGACGTCAATGAGTAGGACATGAAAGACCAGGGAGGCCTGCGGGGGGATCACAGTCCCTGGGGAAGGGATAGGACTTGAGCCATTCAGGTGGGCAGCAACCCAGGGCTCCTTCTTGACTCAGGAAGGCCTAGGTGAGCACCATGCCCTCTCCCCACCATCAGCAGCCTCCCGGTGTCTTGCCCCTCCTGTGATGCCTGAGCTGGGTTCCTCCAGGGCCACCACCAGCTCATACTGAATCTTTGTGTGAATCAGAATAAAGCACTTTCTTAGTGAGATTGTCACCAAGGGCTAGATTTCTTCCTGACTTGCCTCCCTGGCTGGATGCCCTTGTGCAGTACACAGCCTGAACCATGGTTTGTGGAGCCCTGGTTTCCCTCTTCTGGAGAACTCCCCATTGAGTCCCTGACTACCCTCACCGTAGCCTTTCTCGCCATAGGCCAGGAATGGAGGGATGATGATCTTTCTCCTCTCTCCAGGACACATGCCCAGCAGCCCTTGGTCCATGCCTTTGATCAGCCAACCAGAGCCGATGTAGGTGTCATAAGTGCCTCCTCGACTGTAGCTGCAGAGTGAGGGAGTGGTGGGAGAGGCAGGTTGGCCCTGGACTCCCCCTTCTTATGCCACAGCCCCCAGTGTCTCAGGGCTCCTCTCCAGCCCCTTATTACCTGGTGTCAAAGGAAGTGCCATCCAGCAGAGTGCCATTGTAGTGGTAGCGAACAAAGTCACTATCCTGGACCATGCGGGGGCAGAAGGGCGGGCGCAACAAGATGTCCACCTGCACGGTGTCTGCTTTGTTCCACACATCCAGCATGACCACGTCAAAATAGAGGGTGGCATCAGGTGGGATGAGCCCCGCTATAAGGGTGGAGCAGCAGGAATTGGTGTTTGGGGTAGCCTCCAGGGTCTGAGGGTCCTGCTCCACTCCTCTTCCCACCTCTGGTTCCTCTTCTTCCTAGCTAAGCCACGACCCCACCCAGGACCCTGGCACTCCCCTTCCTCTCACTCTACTGTTCATACTGCACATGCAGCATGACCTTGGGCAAGTCATTCCCAGTCTCTGCACTTCGGATTCTGCCCCTGTTCTCTTCCACCCCTAGCTTGTGCCCGGCCCTTCTCACCCACGCCAACACTGCCATAGCCCAGGTGTGGAGGCACAATGAGGTGGCGCCGCTCATTGATGCACATGCCCAGGAGGCCTCGGTCCATGCCGGTGATGAGGCGTCCTACGCCTACCACGATGGCCACCGTGGTGTTGCGGTTATAGCTGGAGAAGGGACAAATGGGATATAGTGGCCTCAAGTGTGTTGAAGGGAGGGTGCACATAGCCACATGGTTCCCTGTGCCCACAGTGCCGTCATACAGAGATGCACACACGATCCATCCCCCCCTTCCTATGCACAGCCAAGATGTACTCACACACTCCTCACCTCTTTCAAGTTTCCCTCCTAGGTCAGTGGAGACACCCACCTTAAGACGAAGAGCTGTTACAAAAGGGAACCCCCAGCCGGGTGCAGTGGCTGACATCTGTAATTCTAGTACTCTGGGAGGCCAAGGTGGGTGGATTGCTTGAGCTCAGAAGTTTGAGACCAGCCTGAGCAAGAGCAAGACCCCATCTCTAAAAGTAGCCGGCATTGTGGCAATAGCCTATATAGTCCCAGCTACTTGGGAGGTCGAGGCAAGAGAATCACTTTGAGCCTAAGAGTTTAAAGTTGCTGTGAGCTATGACACCACAGCACTCTACCCAGGGTGACAAACTGAGAGTCTGTCTCAAAAAATAAAAAAAAGGAACCCCTTCCAGGATGCCAGGACTTTCTATTGCCCTGGGATGGGGTAAGGTGAGGTGTATAGGCTTGGCTGCTCCTACAATTTGCAGACAGCAAAGGAGTAGTAAGTATAGCATGGAGGGGTAGAGGAAGATTTACTGAACACTTACTATATGCAGATTAAATGTGTGGCATTTAATCATTTCCCCTGTGAGGTGGCATTAATATTTTCAGTTTTCTTATAAGAAAAGTTGAGACTTGGGGCGGCGCCTGTGGCTCAGTGAGTAGGGTGCCGGCCCCACATACCGAGGGTGGCAGGTTCAAACCCAGCACCAACCAAACTGCAACCAAAAAAAAAAAAAGAAAGAAAGAAAAAGAAAAAGAAAAATTGAGACTTGAGAGACTAAATGCCTTGCTCAAGATCACACTGCTGACATGTGGTCAGTTGAATCCCAAAGCCCATGTTTTTGCCACTTCATTGTCAATTCTCCAAGAAAAGAAATTAGAAGCACAGCTGGCAGAAGTGAGGACGGGGAATGGTTCCAAATCTTGAAAAGGCCTATTTTAGGCCAGAAGCAATGGCTCATGCCTATAATCCTAGTACTCTGAGAGACCAAGGAGAGAGGATCTCTTGAACTCAGGAATTTGAGACCAGCCTGAGCAAGAGCAAGACCCCGTCTCTACTAAAAACACAAAAGTTAGCCCAGCATTGAGGCACATGCCTATAATCTCAGCTACTTGGGAGGCTGAGGCAGGAGGATCACTTGAACCCAGGAATTTGAGGTTGCTGTGAGCTAGGCTGATGGAACCCTAGCATGGGCAACAGAGATAGACAATGTTTCAAAAAAGAAAAAAGGCCTACTTTAAAATTGCTGTGGCTTTTATTTGTTTTTAGTTATACATTTATAATTTCTTTTCAGTTTTCAAAGTTTTTTATTTTGATGGAAGTGGGTCATGGATTAAGAAAGTTTTCCAAGCTTGACATTCATAAGCAGAGCCTCAACCAGGCTCCCAGGGTCCCCACCAGGGAAGAGTCAGGGCTGTATTCCTGGCTGCCATCTATACTTGGCTTTGTCCACAAAGTGAGTTTTAAGTCTGGCCTGTTTCCTTTATGGTGCTGTTATGAAGGCCCAAGCTCTGCAGTAATTTCTATAAGTTTAACAACCATCAGGGTACAGTTCTT